TTTTGTCTTCAAAAGCTCTTATGTTTGATAGAAACAATGTCTATTACATCTGGATGTAATGATCTTAAGGTTTGCTCTTCAGACCTTAACCGCTAACACTATAAACCACATAACCACATCAAAGAACATTGCAGTTTATAGGACAAGACGACTGATTAACTGGATTTTGTGAAAATGAGGGGGAAAAAAAGTGAAGTTGCAGTAGCTCATTCTGCCACAAGGGGGCAGCATAAATGTACCTTTTTGTTATTTTACTGTATATATTCATTTTTCTACATAGAAACAGCTGTCTCAGTCTTTCAAAAAAATTTCAGGATTCTTTGATAAATAAAAAGTTTAAAAGAACAGCATTTATTCAAAATATAAATCTTTTCTAACCATATAAATCTTTGCTATCAAAGATTTATATTGTTATTTAATAATATTGTTATTATTTACTGACCCCATACCTTTGAATGTTAGTGTATATTGTTGGAAAAGATTTCTATTTTAAATAAATGCTCTTCTTTTTAACTTTTTATTTATCAAATAATCCTGAAAAAAGTAGCACAGGTTCCAAAAAAATGTTAAGCAGCACAACAGTTTCTAGCACTGATAATAAATCAGCATATTAGAATGATTTCTGGAGGATCATGTGACACTGAAGACTGGAGTAATGATGCTGAAAATTCAGCTTTGCATCACAGGAATAAATTAGATTTTAATGTATATGTAAATAGAAAAATGTTATTTTACATTGTAATAATATTTCACAATATTACATTTTTTTCCTGTATTTTTGATCAAATAAATGCAGCCTTGATGAGCAGAAGAAACTCCTGTAAAAACATTTAAAATCGTTCTGATCCCAAACTTGTGTATATACTTGTGTATATACTGTATATATATTGTGCATGTCCATATGGCAATGAAATTATTTTTAATCTCAATTATTTCTAATCCTCCATGGTACAAATACATGTATCTCTCCCCAGCCCATTGGTTACCATCTAAACATTCCCCAGGTTCATTAATAAACTTACAGATGGTGTGGAGAGGAAGTGTCTGTTCCCGCCTTCTGGACTTCCTTTCACCCAATGGTTGATCAGGTTTGCTACACCCACTTTCACACAGTCTGTATCCTAAAAAATATAAAACCGTTTATAAATGAGAACACTTGCCGAACAGCACATATAGCAACATTTCATTACAAATGTTTTCGTTTTTGTTTCACATGTTAGGGGGACGGTGAAGCAAAATTCATACGGTTATGATTGATTTGGCGAACATTTCCCAAGAATTTCTACACAACAGCTCCCCATTGAAGGTTGTTCATGTGCGTCAGACTCTGGCAAACCAAATAGTGTGGGTGTGTTTGAATGTGAAAGTGTAAAGAGCAGATGCCGTTCCAGACTACATGACTACACTGGGGCCGCCTCGTGCCCTCCATACATACATACTTAATAATAGATGTGCCCTGACATAACTGTTTTCCCTCATAATATTTAAAGGGGTGATATGAAACAGATGATTTTTTTATTAGTTTGACATTTTCTATTACTCCCATCCAGGCTTGAAGTACATGGATCATTTTTATGATTATATTTTTTTACTTGAAAGCTTCAGCACCTTTTAATTATACTGTGAGAGTGGCCAATACAATACTAATTTTTGGAAACAACATGAAGGTAAGTGACTGATGACAGATTTGTCTTTTTGGGTGTTAGTCAACGAATGAAACATCTCTGATTTCTGACCTTCAAAGGTGTTCCTTTTGGGCTGCTTTGACTCCAGGCCTCTCCCACTTCAAACAGGCTTTTTTTGGAGGCCACCGGAGCAGAGACATTAGGCAGGTCCACTACTGCTGCCTTAGTCATCTTTGCTTCTTTAGAGGAGATCTGCAACACAGTTAGGCTCAGTGAGTCAAGAGTGATAAATTGGTTCTAAAGAAATATTGCAAATGTAACAACAGACTGTCCCAGGAGGCGGTCTGAAAAGAGATCTCATTTAATCACTCTAAATATAAACCATCTGATCCATTTGTTTAAATGCTGCCAGAGACGGGCCTGATTTCCCTAAATGATTGCTTGACTAGGAGATTGTTCTTTAAACCAGGCATTGGATACTATGTACACATTTGACTACAAAATAATATATACCAATACATAAAAGCATAACATATAGCAAGATATAAGGCTGTAAACTGAACCTCGACTGCATGTGTGTATTGTTCCAGTTTGTCATCGATCTTGGGCAGGAGTACAGGTCTCTGGGTCTTCTTGAAACTGTTACTGTTTGTAAAACAAAGATTGATAAGTGCATATGCACCAGTGTTATTATTGTTAACTAAAACGATTAAAAAATGCTTTTGGTAATAAGTTTAAAACTTAATCAGGTTGAAATCAAATGAAATATACATACTAGATAAAAATGTAAATAAAAAATAGAAATGTTGCCTTGGCCACCAGCTATAATACATTTAAGATGAAGTACTAAAATTAATAAAACTGAAATAAAACTATATAGGATAAAAGCACATTACAAAATTGCTGAAACTTAGACTAAAATGAATGTAAAATCTAAAGCTAATTCCAAATATGAATAAATACTATAATCGTATATAAATAATGCTAAAATAACACTGACATGAACACAGGCAAAATGCAGAGCCGATGATAATCGGGGAAGTCATGGCCTAATGGTTAGAGAGTCGGACTCGTTACCCAAAGGTTGCGAGTTCGAGTCTCGTACCGGCAGGGATTGTAGGTGGGGGGGAGTGAATGTACAGCGCTCTCTTCCACCTTCAATACCATGACTGAGGTGCCCTTGAGCAAGGCACCGAACCCCCAACTGCTCCCCGGGCCCCGCTGCATAAATGGCTGCCCACTGCTCCGGGTGTGTGTTCACGGTGTGTGTGTGTTCACTGCTGTGTGTGTGCACTTTGGATGGGTTAAACGCAGAGCACTAATTCCTAGTATGGGTAACCATACTTGGCCACATGTCACGTCGTCGTCGTCAATATAATCAGATGATCTACTAACACAGATGCAAAGTGGGTTGAAACATGCTTTGTTGGGTGTTAAATAATGGTGCAAGTACCAGTAAATTGACAACCTCAAACCTTATATACTTAAACCATATACAATAAGGTCAGCTGCAAAAAATAACTGTGTCCATGACTTTTCATTACTAATTTTTCACTGTATTTAGTAAATCCTGACAGTATTTTTTACCGTGACATTTGCAGGTCTGCACTGGTGCAAGCTGTTGGTAAACCATAGTGTCCTGAGCTTTTTTTTTTTTGTGTATATGGTGACGAGTCTTATTTCAATCCACCACAATCTCATCAGGAAAAGAGTACACTCCATATCTGGTTAAAGTTAGCCGAACCATAAATCATTGCTGGCAAGGCGATGGACTAACAAAGTATTACAGTGACCTATGCCACCTATGTCAATGTTTACTTTTAAACAACAGTCATCTTGCCAACATACTTGTAAGTTTTTGTCAAGAATCTGCCATTTATAGCAAAGTCACTGAGGCCAAGAATGTCAAGTAGATTGTGCACGTTCTCATTTGCTGAGTCTTAATACAAATTTTATTTTGATGAATAAACTCACCTCTTCTTTAAAGATCGATTCAAGGATTCTGTTCTCTCAGTGATCTGTAATAAAAAAAAAAAAAAAATGTTACATTTCAAAAAAGTTACAAGCAAAGTTTGAAAAAAAAAATCAAACCGTTGAGCAGTGATTGAGAGGATTCCATGTCATATTTAATTAAAGGTTGTGTTTTCAGCAACAGAAGATAATAGTTTACACCTCCAGTGGGCTGTTACCTCAAGAAATTGCTATGACTGGATGATTGAGTCAGGGAGCTGAACTAACGAATCAGACTAGTGAATGAATGGTTCTTTTGAACTTATTCTTTTCAGTGAATTGGTTGATCCAGTTGAACTGGACTGATTCGCTGCAACTCACTGCATGAACCAATCACAGCAGCTCTCAATTTAATTCACCGCTGGGAAAAATATCAGTTAATAGTCTTAAATTTAGGTCATGATATGGCTTCAGAACAGAAGAAATGTAGTAATATCCCATACAGCAAAAAAAAAAAATTCTACCAATATATATAAATATAAATATACAGTAATTATGAAATGAACCACTTTTATGATATTTTTTTGGTGT